TCAAAATTTAGAAAACGGCTTGCGACCCAAAACTGTATATTCAATCTAGCTAATTTTGAAATTGAAGTTAATTCATAGATCCAGACAAATTCAGTTTAATTAAAATATTTCTCTAAAAAGTGTTCCTATGTTTGTTTTTTCTTTACTAGGTAATTCATAGTAGTGCTCACCTTCCACTGGTGGCCTCTTTCCAAGCACACACCGCTGGCATCTCCACACACTTGCTATAAGAAAGGCCATACAAGCAGCATCTTTGCACACTCAGGGCACCTACTCAAATTAACCACAATTCGGCAAATAGCTGTTAAAGTAGCAGCATCTGGAAATGCTGTTAATTTCCCAAAACTGGATTTGTGTGAGGCAGGAGACTTTTGCCTGGTTCACTACAAATGTGGGGAAGAATTACCGTGCTGGGACCTCGGCTGCTTCCAGAGCACAAAAAAAAGAGGAGTTGGTTAAAGCCTCAGTCCTCAGAGAGAGAAGCAGGATTTATTTTCTCAGTGATTTGCGGTTATGCCAGCCTTTCCAGACACATGGCAAAACATGTCCCCTATTGTTAGCAGGGACAACAGCCGAGGCTGTGTAACTTGGCAAAGGCCCATGCACTTACGTTCACCGCTAAGTTATCTCAGACATATATCAAAAGGCTGGGGAAAGCTGCAAAATGAAGCCTTCACAACCCCGAAGCCACCCTGCTTTTTGCTGTTGGGTACATCCAACAAGGCTACATCTTTTCATGTGATGCAACAGCCTTTTTTTTTTGGTAGGGAGTGCAGAGAAGCCACGTGCATTTCTAGTGACTTGTGCGATGGAGAAAATGGGGCACCCTGAGGCTTGGTGTTCACCAAGGCAAGAGTTAAGACATGACCTAAGTCAACCAAGGGGGATGGCAGGGTGAAATGCAGCCTAGCAAGAAGGCTCTGGCACCTTGCACGCTGAGAGGTGGCAAAGGGGACCTTGGCTGCGCTCAGCTCTTGGAAAGTGGATGCCAGATTGAGCGCTGATCCTCACAAGGAATCCCAAGGCTACGCTGAGGCAGCAGCCAGATCACTGCTGGGGGTGACAGGCAGAGGGACAGGAGGCTTCTGTGCTCACCTATGCACCGATTCCTAACACTTCATATCCGCAACCATTTCAAAGCACCTGCTCCTTGACAGCAGTGCTCAGAGTAGCACTCGCTGGCATTTATACATTATCTTTCATCCACAGAGCTCAAACGAGATCTGAGTGTTTTATCCCTGATTTGCACGTAGCCAAGCCCAGCAAAATCCCTTGTCCAAAGTCCCTATGTCCCCTGACCCCTGTGAAGTCCCTGGTCAATGCAGCATCTCCCCACCTTGTCTTGGCAGGCTCCTGCCTTTTCCCTGGGCAGGGAATCGGCCTTCCTTGCTGTGTCCCTTGAGCGCAAACCCTCCTCCTAGCCTGCCTGGTGTGCAGCCTGTTCCATCTGACAAATTAGCTCTTTGGAGCAGCACCTTGGCAACGTGCTGCCACTTGCCACAGGCCACGTAAAGCCTGAGAGCAGAGCCTGTGCTGTCAATGTGTTTGCCTCCCTCGTGATGTTAGCAGACGGAAACACCCATCACGCAGCCCTACACAACTGCTTCTTGCTCACACACAGGGTCTGGAAGGACATGGGAGAGAAGAGCAGTTATGAGCACAGCTAGGCAGTAAGGAAGCTGAAATGACTCCGTGGTACTAATCACTTGATCACTTTGCTGCATCCTAAATTTCCCAGCCCAGAGGTTAGATTGATCCTGTGTTATATAATAATCCAGTCTGTTGGGTTCCTTAAGGCAGGATTTTTCTTTTACTGGGAGTTTGCCCAGTACCTGACCAAACGAGGCTGCAAGAATTCAGCTCGATTTCCAGCCATGGGAATAGCAGCATGAACAGGTTTTCAGAAAAACAGAGGGAAATCTCAGACATGTTTTACTAAACCAAGAATAGATCTCAGGCAAACCCAGGAATTACTAAGCACATCTTGGAACCGTACTTTGCTCCTCCTGAAATGGAAATTTCTCTGCAAAGTCACATACCACCACTAATGTTCCAACTACTAACGCCACTAACTGCCTTCTAAACACCTCATTTCCATCAGCTTCACAATTCCACCTTCCTTCTCTCAGGACCTCTAATGAATCTCATTCAAGGTTACCTGTATTTGCTTAGACTGCAACCACCAGAGGTCGAGTTTCATCCTCATCTCTTGCTCTTTGACCCAGAAATAAGAAATCTGCCTGGTACCTTCCTAGTGCTGGTAACCTCGCATGCATCACCCAGCACCTGGGCTTCTCCATTCCTTCCATCTCTTAAAATATTACCAATAAAAAACATTATAAGCTAAAATCAGGCATAAGATAGCACAGCTGATGCACAAAAATGCTTTGGCTACGTTTCCTGAAAGCTCCTCTAAGTGTCTCTCACCAATAGGACTTGCGGTCTTTTGAAAATATTACACAGTATTTGAAGTTCAATGTAATATGTAATTCGGACATATCTGACTGCAGCAAGGCATCTTCCACAGCATAAAGACACCCACATCAAAACACTGAGGCACACATTGTGTTCCAAAACTCACCTCTCTGCAACTATCTCTCTTTGACAGAAAGCGGATCAGTGTGTGCTGCTTCCTCTTCCTAATTAACAAAGCATCTTGCACTATTTCTTCCGCAGGCTCAAGTTTCCTTCTAAGAATATCATCACCTCTGACCTCAAAAAAAAACCATACGCCTCTCAGTTTTGCCATCTGGCATGTGTGACTGGTCATATCTCCTCCTCCCGTGGGTTACCACAACCAGTGACACAACATCCCTTTCCTAAGGATGAATGATGAGTGATGCATCTCCCGTGCATCCCCTTCCATGGCCGAGAACGCAGCCCTTCCACCCTCGCAGCAGTGAGCTACATCATGCCCTTGTCCTTCTTTTGTCAGCTGCCCACTTGAACAGCATACAACCCCATCCTTCCCAGCCATTGCTTTGGCAACACCAATATTTTAAGTAAACAGCCGCTTCAGTTCCAGGCCTCCAGCTTACCATTAAAACAGGCAGCAAGGCCTGGAGAAATACAGGCTCATGTTATTTTAATCTCCCAGGTGCATTGCACTTTAGTCGTAATTCTCTCCCCAGGCTTCCCTCAATCCTCTGCTTGCTCAAGTGTTCACCAGTGCCCACAGATTGGGACACGCTCATCGCCTGCTCTGCTCTGCACTGCAGGGAGATCAGAATGGGAGGTGGAGTCCGCTGCTTCCATGACAGATTCACCATGTCCCTTCACAGCTCTGCAGAACTTAACTTCCCTGGAATGGTTTCAAAATCTGACTCATGTCCAGTTCGTCTATTTTAATCACTCACTCTTACATCATTCTGGGAGGCCCACGGTGTCACATGCAAACTCCCCCAGCCCCCTGCTCCTCCTCTACCAAGCACTTAATCTGTTGCTCTACCTAGTTCTGTATGAGACAGCAACGTATTCATTACCAACTCCTTCCCCACCCTCCAGGGCATCTACCAGCTTTGGACAGTAGCTAGCAAGGGCTTCCAGGAGCTCTCCATTGCAATGACAGGACTGAGGGAGAGCAGGAACAGTAGCAGCGCCAGCAAACTGAGCGGAGCAGGGATACGAGAGACAAGAATCGCAGCAGGCTTGGGAACACTGCAAAGCAGCTGGAAGGCAGCGCAGGCCAATAGATAAGTGTTGGAATGGGAATCAGGTCAGCTGGTTCCTACTTTCTATTCTCCCAGAGATTTCCTGAATAACTCCGCATGTCACTTAATCTTTTTTACTAACGCTCGGAAATACAAATCATCAGTGTCGGGCCATTCAAGATTTCTTATTAAACTTGATATCATGAAGTAGGGACAAAGCCAAAACTCTCTGAAAGAGCCTAGTGGAACAAAGGTGCTCACGCTCGGGCGTTCAATCGCTTCGCTAGATCCCAGCCTAGATGCCTCCATGGTCGAGCGATTCCCCACTCGTCTCAAGGGAGCGTCTTGTTTGGAACAGTGACCGCCAGACCAAACCTCTTGCCTGGAAGATTACAGGAGCTGGCCAAACAACAGCTGGAACACGTTGAACCTACAGCACGCTCTACAGAAACAAGGCAGGGAGCAGAAACCCTGTACCTAACGACGGTTGCTTTGTTTGTTTTACTCTGGTCAATGAGTCATCGTTACTTCTGCTGGCCCTCTGCAATTAGTCATCACAGAGGTTTCTGGTGTAACTGGCAGCTTGCAAAACCATAAGAATTGGAGTAGATTTTGGCAGAAAAAGGAAACAAAGGAGAAAAAAAGCACCACAGCTAATTTTCCTCCACCAATCCTGCTGAGAGCAGGAGCAGTCAGCTGGGATCAATGTGACCGCCAGGATGTTTGCATGGCTTCTACTGCGACAACACCAGCAAGCAGTAGGCGTGGGACTCCAGGAAAGGCAGATTCGCGTGCGACGGTGACAAGAGGAAACACTGGATTTTTCTGTGTGGGGGTGAGTGGAAATTTTACAAAACTTGAGTGCAATGATGTCAGGGAGATGGAGAGGAACTCAGGCTAATATGGAAGATAAGGTGCAGAGGCAACGAGATGCACGTGAGCACACACACAAATGGGTCTGATCCCTCCCTTGAATGTTGGAGCAAACAACTTGATACACTTCCCAGCCTCCTGGCCCTTTCAAACTTCAGTATCTTAATCAGATCTGTTACTGCTTTATACCTGTACCACCACAGATGGCAAGAGAGCTGCTGTACAGAAGTGCACTTGCATTTTACAAACCAAGATGGTACAAGGATTGCAGAGAATCCCAGTAAGCACAGGTAAACACAATGGGACTGATGAGACCACCAAATAGTAAATGTAAGAGAATAAGCACATTTCAGACAGATATGTTTGTTTGCTCTCCCACTTAGCTCACATCAGAAGATATGAAGGGGCCCAGCTAAAAGCCAGATATGTTATTTCCAGTTTAACAAAGTCTGCATAATAGACGAGGAAAAACTTTACCGGCCTACCCATCTTGCCCCTCTTCCCAGGAACTCCAGGGATCCCCTGCAAAGAAAACACACAGAGGAAAAAAAAATAATAGGTCTGGTTGGGAAAGCAAACAGCCAAGCAACAATACAAAACTGGATGAGAAAGGGGAATGCAAAACAGGCTAATGACTTTAGCATTGTTCGGGAATCAAAATGTCAGCTCCTTGCAGTCAGCAGAAGACAATTAACCTTCACCCACTAACTGGAGCCCTCCCTGAGGACACAGAGGCAGCATCCACACCCAGGGCAGCGGGCTGAAGCTGTGCTTAGCAGGGGCAGTCATTAAGCTACTGGTCTGGAACCAAATGAAGGCCACCGCCAAGGCACTCGCTGAACTTTTGTTTATGTTTCCTATTTAGTTATACAAGCATTAAATCAGCGACTGTAGAGCACAGGGCAGTCCCCTCCCAGGCAGGCGCACACACACACGCACTCCCACATGCTCCCGGGGCCTCCTTCATTTCTGGAATTTCCATGTGAGGGGGAAAAAAGTGACAATACAAGTGTCTTCATCTTACAGCGACCATCCTTAGGGGCTTTTGCTGCAGGAAGAGGGAGTTCTTGATGGGTAGAGGTCAGGTGGGTGGGGAGATGAAGGGGAGAAGTGCACAAAGGCAGGGGAGGTCCTGCAAAGCTCTAAACACATGGGTTTGGCTGCCCAACTCGATGTAGCTGGAAGAAAGGCCATTGCCAGAAAGGCCCGGGCACTGCCCCTTCCAAACGTCTCCAGCTGAACACCCCAAAACCTGGGGCACTGTGGCTGGGATGTCACTCCTTTGGAAAGGAGGAATTCCTACTTGCATTCTCTCCCAGTCTACCCACCAAGATGGGCTGGAAATGATAAAATTAAGGGAATTTCAACAAGGGAAAATACAGGGAAACTCCTCACTAGTCATCAGTATGGTGTGAGGACCCTGCTTGAAGCTGAAGTTTTCCTGAGCTATCAACATCATTACACAGGCCCTCATTCAAGGACAGAAACAGGCTGAAGAGGCCATGTCTAAATATCAGCACACTTGCCTTTTCCTAAGGAACAAGGATTAGAGCATCTTACAAACAGCTCTGAAAATTTGTATTCATGCAACACACCAAGATTTTCTGTGCTAAATACTCACTCGTTCTCCATCAGCCCCTGGCAGCCCAAATAATCCTGGGAGACCTATATACCCCTAAAGAAAAGAAAAGAAAGGAGTCAAATACATGTCTCCATTAGCAGCTAGTCAGCCTGTCTTTTCTGAACAGCAGAGCATCCTCCAGCGTTGGTCAAGGGCAGCCGTGATGAAATAAACCTTGAGGCAAGTGTATATGCCCATGGACTGCATGGTGCTGGCTTCCACGATGTAGTCCAAGGGCACATACCCTCACACCAGGGATCATGTGGACTCCGGGCAGGAAGAGGCCAGCAAGAAGAAACCTTACCTGGGCTGGCTCTAACTGTACCTGAGGGAAATGGAGCTTGGTTTGAGGTTAGCAAGAGCGATAGCAGAAGTAAACCACACGCCTCTACCTCCTGCATCTCTCTGAGAGCCATTTTCCTGCCTCTGGCACTCGTTTTTGACTGTGTGCTGCAAATACATCCCACTGTACTAAGCCTTCTTGTTTCGTCTTGCATCATGTGGTGGCCACGCACTGCAGCTCCTGCACACACAACCATCAGCTCTTGCAAGGGACTTTGCATCACTTTGTCGACCCGAGCACCAAGGTCCTCCTTGGGAAGGGACAGGCTAAGGCATTTCACCCTCTTCATACCTATGCAAAGGATTCAGCCTAGATGCACCTATAGATCCTCTGACACGCTACCACAGAGGAACCTCCCTTTGCATCAATTGTATTTAGCATAATATCCACTTCCACACTCATCAGCCATCCTCACATTTTCTAATATGCAACGTTTCTCTCAGGCTTTGGAATCCTGCTCAGACAGGGCCACTGCATAAAATGTTATATTTTCTTTTCCTCACAACAATTGAAGCCTTGTGTTTAATCCTCTCTGCTCAGCAGTTCACACAAAGTTACCTTGTGTGCTGGTCTTTTGCAAGGGACTATTTGTGCCAAACATGCAGACTCGAGAGGAAGTGAACTTCAGCAGGGAGCCCCTCCAGCAGCACATCACTGTTACCAAAGTCAAGTGCTAACACTGACTTGCTCTCATCTCCTTTTCCTCCATCATCATTAAATCTCTCGCTGTCAACCCCACCAAATCTTTTCACTAGCCCATCGCTCTCCTTGGGCTGTGCTTGCTTTAGGATGTTATCTAGGTGGGAAGTATGGCCACACAAAACGAGAAAACCATTTAACTCCTGCACTACTGATTGTGGAGTGAAAAACAGTGGTGGATAAGGGTGCCAGTCAGTGGTTCATTCCCTTCATCCACAAAATGCTGATACCTCATCTAAGAGTTCAACATTCAGTGCTGACCAACTGCAGCTGAACTGAGAAGTGGCTTTCTTTGGGCAACTATAAGTATTTCAGCCCTCAACATTTCGGGCTGAAAAGCAGAAGACAATTTTCAAGTCTTACTTTCTGCTAAGCTGTGATCTTAGCATTGCACATCTACCCTATGAAAATTACACTAAAACCGCATTGGGTCAGTGAAATGGGTGCACCAGGAAAAACTGGATTCCTTGTAGAAGTGAGGTAAGCAAGCTGTGCTATCAGATATCTTCCTCTCTCCTGTGAGTCATTAAATACATGATCTGTCCTTCTCTGCCTGCCTCCACTCTTCCCAGCTCAGGAATAGAGCTAGCTACAGGGTCAGCGTTTGTTTATTGCTTGCAGTTTTCCGAGTGATGAAAGCCAGCTGGTTGAATTTACTGTGTATAG